CAGCTGCTCCTCATATCCACTCCTAACACACAGGGAAGATGCTCCCTTGTATTTGTAAGGCAATAAAGCCTTTTTCAAATTTTCTTTGAAAATTGTGAATTTTTGAAGAAAACATAAATCTAATGTTTGTTCTCCTTCAAATCACTTTTATTCTCTTTCATAATCTCTCCAGCCAGATCAGGAACAGGGAAATATATCTGATAACAGAAAGAAGAGCAGAAAACTTGCCACTTGGGGAAGGGTTACTTTTTTCACTGGGATTTGTGATCCTCTTGTAACTAGAGTAAAAATCTTCTGGCACTTCTCTTTACAAAGTTAGCTTTGTGTAGTTACTATTAAGTATTGTAACAATGGATTCCAGGAAAAAGAATTTCATTTGAGTTAGGAACGATTCTGAGGGACTGGTAGCTATAAAAAGAAAATCCTAGCAGAAAAGGGCAAACAAAAATAACAAAGACACATGAGGAAAGCAAGCAACCTTTCCACCAAAAGAAAGACAAGGCTCTTCACCACAGCAAAGACAGCTCCTTTGGAGCCATTGGCTGTATAATGCATTCAGACAGGGCACTGTAAGCAGGTAAGTGTATTCCATGCTGTTAGCTGAACCCTTGATGCTTACAGGTAAAAAAGCTCACTTCCTGGACTGAAGTGGATGCTCTTAAGATGTGTCATCATGTTGTTCTGTAATGCTCACTTTTGATTCTTAAAAGAATGGTTAACTCAGTTTTTAAAATACTGTCTCCTATCAGCTTTTTACGCTGCAGACATACTTTAGCACTGATGGGTAATAATCTCTCTCCTTTTTGTTTTTTAAACCTACCACAGGTTTACTTTCAAACTTCAGCAAGCACTTTTGGCTGCAGGCTTTACAAAAGAAATATTTATTCAGGTAACTAGTAAGGAAAATTTTGCATGGGAATCAAAACAAAACCACACAGTTATTCATAAATGTGAAATTTACACAGAGCAACTCCATTTCCAGAACTAATCTGCTATTATAATATGTCAGGTGATTTCACCTGGTTTCCTGCAGCACACTAACTTGGCTTTGACCATACAGTGTATCTTCAGGGACAGTTCTTATCCTTGTCTTGCCCTGGTATCTCCAGGAGACAGAGAGTTTATCCTTCTCTCAGGAATGCCCTTTAAGATCTGCCTTGAACTCCAGCAACTGATCCTTCTTATGCCTTTCTCCATTAGATGAAAGACATCTTACTATCAACTGTTTCTTGTGAACTCAAGTTTTGCAAGAGCCTGTTCAGGTCAGAACTGCAAAGCCAGATCAAGAACAATTTATTTTAGACATCTTGTGGCAAGCAGAACTTCACCTCACCTTCCTCACAGGCCTCGCGATGAACTTGCAGCCGTTCTGCAGTTTCCAAACTTGTCACAGGACCCCAAGGCCTCTGTGGACACCTTGACTTTTGAAGGGAAAAAGCTTCAGAGACAGCATACTCAGAAGTTCGGTCCACTCTCTTAAATTAAAGAAAGGAAAACATTTCTAAGGATATTCATTTTTACACTTCCTATATCCACATTTTTCCTCCAGAGAGCAAACATCAGCAGGAATGTAACATAAAAGCATGTTATAAAAGAATAGATTGTTTCTGAAATGCATTTCTACAACTGCTTGATTGCATAAACTGGACTTAGAAGTCATTAGGCAATAAACAGTCATTTGGCAATTAGTGCCAAACACAGAGACTGGAGAACACAGAGAGAATAGAAACACCCAGTCCCTGGGGGCTGGATGGAGACTTGCTGAGCTAGTGCCCAGCAACAAGCAACTATGAAATTTGATATCAACTTTTTGTCATAGCCAGGCTGAGAGAATACCTGTCCCATATCCATCTTTCTGAAATGCTAATGGCCCTGACGTGTCACTGTGTTTTCACAAGTAACACCTGTGCACCAGACAGTCCAGATTTCCAAGCTCCTTCCCTCTGTGCTGCTGCCAGAAGCCCAGGATACTGCCTGAGGAAGCAGATACACACTCCTACCTGCCCGAAGAAGCAGGCTGAAGGTTGAGAGCATGGGTGTGCCCAAGGAAGCAAAACAAACAGAACTTCACCCTAGAATTCATTTTCTTTGATGTCAGGTGGTTGCAGGTGCAGGACACGGTGCTTTGGGATAAAGCTCTTATTACTTGCCCAAAAAACCTGCAGCACTCCTCAACAAAAAGTTTTTTTGTGTTGTTTTATGCATAGCAACACCTTATTCTTCATAGAGTTTGGATTAGAAGGTACCTTTACAGGTCATATAGTCCAGCCTCCCTGACAGGAGCAGGGACATTTTTGATAACACCAAGTTGGATTGGAATGCTGCTCTACTTGAGGGCAGGAAGGCTCTGCAGAAGGGTCTGGACAGGCTGGATTGATGGGCCAAGGCCAACTGAAATTCAACAAGGTCAAGGGCCAGGTCCTGCACTGGGGTCACAACAACCCCAGGCAGCACCACAGGGTGAGGGAAGAGTGGCTGGAAAGCTGCCTGGCAGAAAAGGACCTGTGGGTGCTGGTGACAGCAGCTGAACACGAGCCAGCAGTGTGCCCAGGTGGCCACGAAGGCCAATGGCATCCTGGCCTGTACCAGCAATAGTGTGGCCAGCAGGACCAGGGCAGGGATTGTCCCCCTGTACTCAGCACTGGTGAGGCTGCCTTGAGTCCCGTGTCCAGTTCTGGGTCCCTAAATGCAGGAAAGACACTGAGGTGTCTATTCAGAAGTCAAAGTTGCTGAAGAGCCTAGAGGAGCAGCTGAGGGAACTGGGATTGTTTAGTGTGAAGAAATGGAGGCTCAGGAGTAAACCTGTCACTCTCTACAACCACCTAAAAGGAGGATGTAGCTAGGTGGGGGTCGGTCTGTCCTCCCAGGTAACAAGTGACGGGATAACGGGGAATAGCTTCAAGTTTTGTAATGGGATATTTAGATTGGATATTAGGGGAAATCTCCTCACTGAAAGGGAGAACACGCATTAAAACAGGCCGCCCAGGAAAGAGGCTGAGTGACCATCCCTGGAAGTGTTCAAACAACCTGTGTATGTGACACTTAGGGTCATGATTTGGTGGTCAACTCGATGGTGCTGAATTAATGGTTGGACTCAAGGATCTTAGAGGTCTTTTCCAACCTTAATGATTTCGTGATCTTCAACCACCTCAGGTTACTCAGAGCCCCGTCTAACCTGATCCTGAGTGTCACTGTGCAAGTTATTCAGCCTTGACCCATTGTTCCAAGCTACCCAAACCTCGGCAGGGACTAAGGAAAACCACAGCGTTCCAAGCTCCCGTGCCTCCTCCTGAACCCCAGTTTCGCAATGCCAGCTTCAGCGCCTTTCGCGCGAGTCCAGCGCAGCTTTCCCACCCGCCGGCAAACCGCACGGCCCTGGGCAACCTCATCCGTAATCCTGACCCTGCCGTGCTGACTGCCCGCGATCCCAAGGAAACGGGATCCCAGG